TGTGTGTGTGTGTGTGTGTGTGTGTGTGTGTGTGTGTGTGTGTGTGTATTGGAGAACTGCTCCTGCTTTTTCAGGCAGAGAGACTGCAGGCAAACAAATAGGGCTTTTAATTAAAAGAAAACTAATTTCAAATGTCTAAACCAGAAAACTTCCCTTAATTTTTAGTTTTTTGTTACCCGATTCTGCAAAATTACCACAAAAAATGCTTCCGTTTAAGAAAACTTGGTAACGCTTTATATTAAGGCCCTTGGAATAACCATTAATTAATACGGCAAATACTTAATGGGTGGGGTATGGATGTATATAAAGCTATTAGGACCAGTTATAAAATACTTATGAGGCCTTATTAATTTTCTTAAGCTTTTGCAGACTGTCAATAAGTATTATCGATGTCTTATAGTCTGCTATTAACTGTATTATAATGCCATTATTAACAGGCTTAATATAGGCTTATAAACACACAATAATGTTAATAAGCATCTTGTAAGGACTTACAAGGGCCTTATTACATATTAATTAATGGTTATTACAAGGGCCTTAATATAAGACATTACCGAAAATCTTATATGAGGAGTTTGCTTTATCCTACACCTTGACGTTTGCACGATGCAAGAAGCCCCAGCAGTTTCTAAATACCTGTTTGCTGCTTCGTAACGGCATTAAAGCAGCTGCTCTCTCAATCCAATGTATTTGTCTGGTAGAAAACCTTCCTGATTGGTCCTTTACAAGCGCAAAGCCATGTGCGGGTAGCCACAGATCTCCTATCAGGACGATGATCAAGCTAAAATTTTTAGAAAAGGCTTTCTCCAAGGTGCTCGACTGTCTTTATTTTCAGTAGCAGAGATCCTCTTTTTTCCCCCGGTAATGCTTGAAAAAGTTGTTTTGTTATGTAGAATGTTCCTCAGTAACAAAACTGAGGTTGATGTCATTGATCCTTAACAATGATAAATGAAAATGGAATGCGATCTTTATGACATTTAAATGCAGCTTGCGTAATAATGATACTCAGGAAAACTAAGTTTTTAAGAGCTTCATAAAGTTAGAGAGTTGGAGCCCTGCTCTGGTTGAGCAACCCGGGAGGAGAACAGTCTGAAGTGCTGTGCTTGGCAATATCATTTTATATTAACTCTGGTACAGATGAAAGTCCAATGTAACCCAGGTCTGGAGTAGTGAGATAGAAGACCAGGATATTGCTTTAGTGTAGAAAACGTATAACCAGGAATTGGGTGGCTTGTGAGAGGAGTGGGCGGAACTTTCTTATATTAAATACTAACATAGTAACTGGGCAACAGAGGCCACATAGTGAGTAAAGAAGAGATGGTAATCAGTCATGACACCCAATGTCATAGCAACCTGGGAAGGGTGATAGAGAGCTGATTTTACGTAGGAAAGGGGCTTTATAGTGTGCTTGGTTGGGAGGAGCAGCAGTTCAGCCGTAGAGGTTGATTTGCAGGAAGTGCTCTCTCGTGAACATGGATTCAACCTGTTCAAATGTTGTGGCAACTGACTTTTGATTGTTTTTGAGTGGCCCAACTGTGGCAACGAGTTCTCCCAATAACGGCTTTCAGATAAAATCAAAGTTCTAATTTAGTAGTAACCAAAGCAAAGCGTGAAAAAACTTCTGTGTAACTGCCCCAGGTTAAGATATTTGTTTGAAAAAGGTTTGTTTAAACTTTTTATAAAGGTTTAATTGGACTGTGATAGTGTGAATGTGAGGATCATTTTAAAAGCCAGTGTGGTGCCTACAGGGTCAGCATTGTGCTTCTTTTTTCCCCCAGTACTGGCGGCAGGTGTATCTGGTGACGGTCTTGGCCATGATCCTGGCCATCTTCTTCGCTCAGATCCACCCTCATTACCTCAGCAAACAGTGGAAGCGGCTGCGCTCGCTGATCTTCTGCTCCGTGGCCGGCTACGGCCTCATCCCCACCGTCCACTGGATCTGCATAACAGGAGGCTTCTCCTCCGAGCTCGTCCAGGTGAGAGGATCATACTCGGAATATATCTAAGAACAACTATTTTAACTCATTGGCTGCCAAAGAGGTCTATAGACGTCTTTTATGTTTTTCAACGAGAGTGACTTGGGGGACGATCTGCTAAAGCTTGTCCGTAAATATCAGGCTTCTAGACAGAGTATGTACTAACAAATTGACCCTCTAGGTGGCAGTGCCACTTTTGATGGGAGATGAGCTTAGACTGTAGGCAAATAAAAAAAACGTAACGGTTCGCTATGAGAGAAGATGTCGCCGGTGAGACGCAAGTCGAGGAAGAACGGAATAAGGTAGAAACAAAAAGTTTTCCTGATGAAAGAAGAGAGTCTACTCTTTCTTTTGGTGTGTTCTGTGTTTACATAGTCATAGCAAAAACTATTCTGTGGCTCTTGAAAAATCAGTCAAAATGCTAAAAAAACTCTGGCAGTCAATGAGTTAACTAGAGTTTGGTGATGTCTTCCTGTATAAAGCACTTTTTCACAGCTAAGTTTGTTTTTCTCTCCCTTTTTTTTTTTCTTTCTGTTTTCCCCCCAGGCTTTCATCCCCCGCATCCTGGGGATGTACTTCATCGCAGCGTTAGCTCTCATTTTTTACGTTTCCAAGGTTCCCGAACGCTACTTCCCAGGTGAGGCCACCTTTTCATTTTTCTCCTCAGGCTCAGATCGGGCGCCATCTGAACTCTTCCCTCCGTCCGTTGCAGGTCAGCTGAACTACGTGGGCTCCAGCCACCAGGTGTGGCACGCGCTCCTGGTGCTGATGTTTTACTGGTGGCACCAGTCCTCGGGCTTCATCATGGCCCACAGACACAGTCAGCCATGTCCCGACGCCCCCCACCACACCTAACCACGCCTGCAGGACCACCGGCCTCCGGAAGCAGTTAGGGTCTCGTTGTGTTTCTCTGTGATGTTACCGATACGATGTCACGGTGTGGACTTTAACTTTAAGGTGTTAAATGCTGCCAAGTGATACAATTCAGGACACGAGAGGGCTATTTTGTGCAAAAAGTGGAGCTTTTCATAACTATGGAATTGACGGCGGCCTTGGAGGCTCTGGCAGAGGCGGTAATAAACCTAATGTTATGAAACAGGGGCTCCCAAGAAAAACCCTGCTCTCGCTCTTTGGTCTGGTAGCAGCAGTAGACGATCTACACGATAAACGGATGGACATGTTCCCCCTCCGAGTCTCTGTTAGGCCTTACGTGTGCCGCAGACCAGAATCGGCCCAGGATTCAAGGCCAAACATGTGGAATGAGTCATCTTAGTGGGTTACCTTTTTAGCACATTTTTACAACCAGAATCCAGAAATCCTGCAGTAGAGGAGAATTTCCGCTATTACGATATATCCAGGTTGCCCGATTAATATTTCTTTTTAATTTGCCTAGAAGTGAAACCCCATAGCTCTTCATAAATTTGGGAACAATTTTTGTAAGACAGCTTTGTTTGGGTCGGTCTAGTTTTTAATGTGTCTGGGCTGGAATCCACTTAAATAAGATGTCAGTATTTCACATCAGTAGCCTCTTGGACACTTATATATGTCTGAACGTTGACAAGCAAAAACTAACCCCTGTCATTAAGAAAAATACTATTTAGAAGAGAAAACCCAAAGAATGTAGTGGAAAAGGTTCTTATTTGTGTAAGCTTTATTTTTTAGTTGGGCTGAGATAGACAAATGTTGTTTTGGTGCAATAACTAATGCGTATTATGGCTTATTAGTGTGTTTGCACCTGATACTCCAGAACTGATGGTTTAGGTCCGTGCTCAAAATGTGGTGAACTGTTTCTAAGCTGTTCATCAGCAGAATCTTCTAATTTTTGTCAGAGTTCAGGCAGAAGAGGCTCCTAGTGAGACTTTATTTAAACTGTGATCCGGCTCCAGACTGTAATGTGCTTAACAGTACAAGAACCTAACAATCACAATGTACTGCATCCTGTTTTATACTTTGTATGAATTTTTCATTCTTTTTGCTCCTGACATAGTTCCTGATACATTTTTTTTTTGGTTTGGCGTAAGCAGAAATCTACAAAGTTTTCTGATGTACAACCGACCATGTTTTTAATTCTGCTCTTTTAGGGTGAAGTGAAATGTTAAAAGCAACACGTTGTTGTCCATTACAGTATTTTGTTCTCAGGCAGGGTGGTATATTTGATCTCCATTCAAAATGCTTCCTTAACCTTAGCTTCTCATTTCTGTTCCTAACTAAATTAGCTAGTTGTTATTACTTTATTATAGTTAGTTACCTTTTTTTATTACAAAAAAGGTAACTAATTGAATAATAATATATAAAAATACCTATTTTTCTGTTGAAGTCTTGCTTTAAAAATATTTCAATTTGCCTTAGTCTACAAACTAAGTGACAGTGGTTAATGTAACATCTAAGTGGGCCACATTGCAGTTAAGGAACTGCCTATTTAGGACTTGAGTCATTTCATAAGAAAGACAATTTTAAATAAATGAGCAGATTCAATGAGTTGAAAACAAACAGAAAATAAAACTTCTCAACTCCAGTACAATAACCAATAAAATACTCCTATAAATCAATTTATATGTGTGTTGAGAACATTGAGAAATGTCTACTGTTTTTTAATGTTAATGTGTGTTACTCTTTGTTTTAGTTTCTTTGAGTTAAATATCTTATTTTTGGAATAAATACCAGTGTGATTAGTTAAGATGTATGCAACAAAAAGCTCTGACATATTTGCTTTGTTTTAAATTATTGTATTCATAAACATGTCTGTAAAAACTTGTCCTTCAAATGCCCAAATCGACATCATCATGAAACTCATTTAGTGGCAGCTGACTTTTTTTGTATCTTTTCATATGTCAGCAATGAAAATGCTGCAATCTGAATAAACTGAATGTGGACCGTTTTAAATATCCTGAGCTCCATCGTTATTGCATCCAGCACCAGTGTGGTCTAGTGAGTGAGTACCCGTTGGATAAAAAACAACAATGAGGGTCACATCGGATGGATCTGCTGGAGAAGTTTTATGGGTACAATCACGTGCAAAAGGCTGCTGATATGAATAAAAGTTTAAGAATTTACTGTAAAAAGGTCTTAATGAAGATGGGCTGAACACTATCAGTCAATGTTTCTTTTTCCCTTAAAAGTAGAGCTCGTTTCACTCAGAGGCCATTCAAAGGCCATTATTTGTCAATAAATCTAAAAGAAAAAGACCAAAACTCATGTTTGAATGATCCTGTTAAGTAACATCACATTTACTTAATGAAGGTTAGTTTTTTATATATAATTATAAATGACTGTCGATGATTAAGTATCTTTTTCATTCTTCATGGGACAGTCTGAGGTTATTTCCAGACAAAGAATATTTTCAAGAAAAAAGGCAGACTTTTTCGTTAAGGTCTTCGGTTGGAAAAAGTGGACGAGGTGAAAGATTTCCACATGAACAAATGGATTTTAGTTTAAGGTGCAAGTTGTCAGAGCTAATTGTTCTTCCGAGAACTTGGCATTTGTAGGCACCACGAGTCCCGGTCATCTATTGCACCGTTGTTCTTTATTTCTCCCTTCTAACAGATAGTTCAGTTAAAACTTCTTTAAAAAAAAAAAAAAGTAACAGTACTTGCATATAAGATTTCTGCTCGCGGAAAAAAAAAGAAAAAGTCCATCCATCCATCCATTATCCTCCGCTTATCCGGGGTCGGGTCGCGGGGGCAGCAGCCGAAGCAAGGAAATCCAGACTTCCCTCTCCCCTGCCACTTCTGCCAGCTCCTCCGGGGGGATCCCGAGGCGTTCCCAGGCCAGCCGGGACACATAGTCCCTCCAGCGGGTCCTGGGTCTTCCTCTGGGCCTTCTCCTGGTGGGATGTGCCTCACCAGGGAGGCGACCAGGAGGCATCCTGATCAGATGCCCTAGCCACCTCAACTGGTTCCTTTCCACATGGAGGAGCAGCGGCTCTACTCTGAGCCCCTCCCGGATGGCCGAGCTTCTCACCCTATCTCTAAGGGAGAGCCCAGCCACCCTGCGGAGGAAACTCATTTCGGCCGCTTGTATCCGCGATCTCGTTCTTTCGGTCACTACCCAAAGTTCGTGGCCATAGACGAGAGTGGGAATGTAGATCGAACGATAAAATTCATCACGACAGACCGGTACAGCGCCCGCATTACAGCAGACGCCGCACCAATCCGCCTATCGATCTCACGCTCCCTACCCCCATTCGCGAACAAGACCCCGAGATACTTGAACTCCTCCACTTGGGGAAGGACGTCCGCTCCGACCCGAAGAAGGCACTCTACCGTTTTCCGGTGAGAGACCATGGTTTCTGACTTGGAGGGGCACTGATCCTCTTCCCAGCTGCTTCGCACTCGGCTGCGAACCGCTCCAGCGAGAGCTGTAGGTCCCGACTTGATGAAGCCAACAGGATCACATCATCTGCAAAAAGCAGAGATGCGATCCTAAGGCCACCAAGACTGACACCCTCAACACCTCGGCTGCGCCTAGAAATCCTGTCCATTAAAAGTTATGAACAGGACCGGAGACATAGGGCAACCTTGGCGGAGTCCAACTCCCGCCGGAAACGAGTCTGACTTATTACCGGCAATGCAAACTCTGACTCCGGTCGTACAGGGGCCGAACAAAGGGCCAGGTACCCCATACTCCCGGAGCACCTCCCACAGGATACTCCGAGGGACACGGTTTAAGAAAAAGTTAAAAGCCTAAACTTAAACCTAACCAAAATAAACAGCTCCAACTTTTCAAAGAGAAAATTCGATCCCTCATAGTATTCCATCTGTAGTTCAACCCAGTCCCCCACATTTGGCTCCAGAGGAAGTATGCATAGAGAAAAGTCTTAACAAGGAGAAAAACAAAGTGGTTTAAATGACTCCCAAATGATTTGAGACAGCGCAGGAGAGCAAAGCGCTGCCGAGGTACTGCGAGGTAGGCCGGAGCCCAGCTCAGGTAAGGCTTTGTGGTGCTGAAAAGGTTTCAGAAGGCAGACTGCAAAGAGCAACTCGCAGAGTCGAAAACAGTCACGTATCAGGCTTAAAATCACAGTACGATTTGTACTCGTCCCCGGTTCAAATGTCCCTAAACGAATCGGATGGCAGCATGAAAGACTTTCAGCAAACGGATACAGCTGAAAGCCGTGGAAACTCCACCATTCAACAGGATTTCGTTCTCTTTTTTGTTCGTTCTCTTGCTCAAACACAATGTTAAAAAGTTGAATTACAATATTTGTAGGTTGTCTTGGCCACGACTGCTTACAATGATCCCAAACCAAAAAGAAGACAGAAAAAAAAAATAAACCGCAAAAAAGCCGGGGCCGGAAGACTCGAGAAGGGTTACTGCTTCGAGGGAAACGGCGCCGCTCCGAAAGGGTCGAGGTCCACGGTCTGTGGGGGCCCCTGTTGCTGGGGGCCGCTGTGGACCACCTGCTCCTCGAAGGGCACGGCCCCGAAGTCGTCCGTGATTCTGGTTTCTCCGAGGCCGCCGTGGAGGGAGCCGCTCCGGGTCTTCCCGCTGGTCGCTGTCGGGTCGTTTTTGTGGTCGTTCTTGTGGTCGTCGAGGCTCCGGAAGTGGCCGTGGCGGCCGCCGTCCTGGGGGTGGAAGGGCTTGGCCCCGAACACGTCTAAGAGCGCGTCGTCCGCCGGCATGGACGCCCCCCGGTCCTTCCCGTCCGCCACGGCCATGTCCACGCTGATGTTCTCTTTCGAGTCGGAGGTAATCCGAAACTCGTTGCTGCTCTGCGAGTCTCTGCGGCCGACCTTCTTGTGCCTGCGGGCTCTCTCCGGCGTGCGGTAGGCCGTCTTGCCGCCCTTGCGGCCTCCGGTCGGGGTTCCGTGGTGCCGCTTGCCGTTGGCGCCCGACGCCGCTTCCTGTTTGCTCTTCCTCTGGCGGGACGATAGCCTCTGGAGGCTCCGCTGCTTCAGCCGCTGCTGCTGGGGGCCGGCTGGCTCCTCGAAGGACGAGCGGAAGATGTCCTCGGCGCTCCAGGAGGTCTGGGGCGCCGGCCCGAAAGGAGAGAACCCGAAGACGTCGGCGGCGTCCGGGGAGGAGACGACGGCGGGGGTGGGCGTCGCGCCCGGCTTGGAGAGGTTCCGGCCGAACGGCGCTTTGGTGAAGACGTCCGGCTCGTCTGCGCCGCCGGCCTGCCCGAAAGGCGCTTTGGCGAAAATGTCGGCGCTCTCGGAGGGCTCCACGGGGAAGGGGACGGCACCGAACGCGTCCGTGACCGGGTCGTAATCCCCCGGGGGACTCCCGGGAGGAGCGGAGGCAACTCCTTTAGGGCGCGCTTCCTTTCTCGAGCGTGTCCCGGAGTCGGAATCGGAGCTGCGCTTGTCTTCGTCCTCCTCCTCGGAGTCCATCAGCAGGGGCCTCTGGCCCAAATTCTCCGGTTCCGTGTCCTCGCCGTGTTCGCTGTTCAGGGCCTCCTCCTCCTCCTCCGGCTCCTCCTCCTCGCTGCTCTTCGGGGACGGGGGGTCGGACTCGAAGTCGCTGTCGGACTCCTCGCCGGGCCTCTCGTTGCTCTTCCTTACCAGTTTGTGCTCCTTCAACACAGCCAGCGGTGTTTCCTCCACGGAGGCCCGGACGGAAGCATTAGCGGCCTCCTCCACGCTCCCCTCGCTCTTCATCGCATCGGAACCTGCAAAAAAAAAGGGCACACGAAAAGCTGAGCCGGGTCACTTTAACCCAGATTCTTAAAGCTTTTTTTTCCTTTTCTTTTTTTTATAGGGATAAGTTGCAACTGCGGGAGAGTCTGAACGCAAGAAACCAACTGTTCATTTTCTCACAATACCCATGAGACCTTCTTAATATGCGGCATTACAGAAATCAGGATTACTCCGCCGCCAAATGCGAACAATTTGTCTCTTATTGAGGCGGCAGAGTGGAGTCCCGACATCAATATGGTCAGAAAAGCCGCTGTGGCTTCTTTACACGGGCCATGCTGGGAGAAAGGGGGGGGCTTAAAGGTTAAAGGGATAAGACGTCAAGCTTTTCAAGATTCACAAAATTGCTTTTCGGTTTCAAATATTACTCGGTTTAAGCTCTAAGCCAGTTACTCCCTCAAGACTTTGAAAAAAGTCAAGTCAAGTCTGCATTCCTATAAATTCCCCTTCGCATTTGGCATTTGGTTTAAAAAACTAAAATAAATAAATAAAAAACTGCCTTGTGTAATTTATGTCCAAGAGATTTGCATAATAGCAATTTAAAAATTATCCTAATTAGCGAGTGGAGAGCCTCCAGTAGCACTGAAAAGTGAACGAGGAGCCAATTTATTGTTCCCTTTTAAGAGGAAGCTGTACATCACAGGGACCCCTGCTGTGAACGTGAAAATGGAAAACCTCTCCTGTCTTCATCCAAACTGGCAGGACGGGACAGCAGATTAGCCAAAAGCTTTGCCGTCCGCGAGGCAAAGCGCCTTGAATAAAAGAAAATAATAATAATAATGCGGAAGGAGCTGCCGTGCGTCTGCTCGGCTCAAGGATTAGAACTGGCAGTGGCCTCGACCTCTTCCCGAGGCGGTAAATAGAAACATCTATAATCGTGAGCCGTTAGACTGACAGATTGTATTCTTTTTTTTATTTTTTATGCGGGGTGATCCGGAGGATTACAAGCATCTGATCTTTTAGAAGATGCGAATAAGTGGTGAAAACATGTGTGTGATTGTTTTGTTGTGCCATGGAAGAAACCGTCTGAGGGGGAGGCCACACAAGATACACTTAACAGCCGCTTCACTATTAAATAATGAGGTATGATTTTGGTTTAAATTTAGTTTCTGATGCGTTTTTACCTCACACATTCAAGGTGGACTTACTCAGGAGGATGTGTCAGCCAAACCTCAGTCAATATAATAAATCACAGATGAGAGAGTAAAAAATAATGACATTGTGTTAGGATTACTCAAAATGTAATGATTGGAATTAGAGCAGCCTTTTTCACGTCTTTTTTATTCTACGTAAAACCAAAGAGGTAAAACCGACATACAGGAAGTAGGTAAAACATATTAAATTATCCAAAAATGTAAAGTCTGGACCAGGAAAACCCGCTCTTCATAGTAAATCTGCAGCAAAATAAGTGGTCAGTTTATGGCAGAGAGCGAAAGTTGATGGTTGATTAAAAAAAAGAGTTTAAGATCTTACTAATATCTTCCACCACATCTGTAGTGGCAAAATGAAATGACAATATTTCGTACTTTCTTTCCCTCAGATATATGACACTGAAAACTACTCGGAAGGGAAGAAAAATGTTGTCTTTTTCTAAATGAATGACTTAATTAAAGACACACTAGGTCATACACACAGCAGTATACCTGATAAACAGGTGTTTTTAATATTGCGGTTAGGTTTTTAAATATTCCTCCGATTTTGAGAGTTTCATAATTGTTCATTTTTTGGGGTAATTTCTTTTCTTATGGGGCAAATTCCACCTCATAAGAGTGAAAAAATGCAGAGAAATACTTTAGAAAGTAACTTTTAAACTGTCATTGTGTTCACAATCCTTACCTCTCAGACATAATTAAAAAAAGATGCAGGAGAGATTTTGCTCTTGCTCACATTGTGACTTTCATAGCATTCAGACCTTATTTTTAGAGCCTTCAAAGTCAGGGGGACGCCATCCAACTGCCTATTAGATTTTAAGGAAAATTCCTCAACCTTAGACTTTCTTAAAACTTTACTTTAAACCTCCATTTTACTTTAATCAAATTTAGCTTTATTTTTCTCATTTTTGACCTATGGTAGGTCTCACTGACAATTCAAATCGCTTCACCATACATCTTCTACGCTATTCTGGACACCTCAAATCTTTTTGTTTCCTATGTGTCTTTTTTTTCTGTACGATCAGTGGCTTTAAAATTTGTCGGCCCTTCTTTCTGCTGACGCGTGCCCTCTGGTTCTTTCTCAATTAAAAAAATAATGTAACTGTTTTCCACAGTGTCCACATCCAGATTATTTCCTGTCCCATTTAAATGTGTTATTCAGCTAATTTGGAAAAATTTTCTAAACTTTGTCCACTTTCTACAATGTCTTTGGGTACCTTCATTCAGAAGATCATCACGTTATTACATGGATTAATTTAACTTTGAACTTTGTCATGAGAACTTGTCCTTATCTTTAAATAGCCTTTAGCTGTCAGTGTTCCTCTAATACAACTAAAAATGACATTTTTAGTTATGTATGTTACAATTTTGTGTTTAACGCAGAAAATTCCAAGCCCTTGTAGTTCTTTTGTCTGCTTCAAATCCTTTACTAATTTTTCGCGAACTCTTAAGATTATAGATTATTTTTAAAAGCTTAAAATCCTTCAGCTTGTTCTGTAACTTTCAGATGACTTCCTGTCACATTGTAATTAGTAAATTTTTACTACTTATTACTACTCTTCTTATTTTCACGTTTTTTTTTTAGCATCTTCTGGTCCATTCATTCAACAGATTAGCATTTCCATTTTCTAGTTATTAATTTACATTTTACACTATTTTACATGTGGTTCAAAGAACTAGATGTACTGGTTCTGGATCTTCCACACGTTCAATCTGACAGCAGAATTGTAATAATAAAAACAGCTGGCACTGTGACAAACTAGTGGAAGGTTAACCTTAAAAAAGAAACAATCTCTTCATGACCTTTTGGGTTTGATTACTGAGCATCATCCTCTTGCCTTGTAAAGTGAACAAATCCACTCTCAGAAAACAGACAAAAAAAAGCTTTTGTGCTCACCAACTGATTGATTTTTGTTCCTTAATCTAAAAGAAGCTTAAAAACACGTATTTTTCTTAGTTTAACAACCAGAAAGCTTTCCAAAAGTTTTTTAAAATGACAAATTGATTACTTTTTTTTTGTTTTCAGAATATAGATTTAGGGCCAATCTAATTAATTTCAAGTATTTATTTATTTTTTATTTATTTTTTACAAAATTCCAGTTCCTACCTTATAAATCCCACAAAAACAAGAATTTGAATAATGTGAAAAATCACCATTTACTCCTCAGTTTTTTCAGAAAAAGAGAGAAATTAGGATCATATCAAATCAATCAAAATACGGTACTTCCACAATGCTATGTTAATCGTCAATACTTAGTTGGGAATCCTTTTGCCTGAAATTACTGCCTCCATTTGATGTGGGAATCAGCCTGTACAATTGCCTGGGAGTTATGGAAACCCCTTGTTTGTTGTTGGGTCTGCGGCCCCAAGTTTTCCTCTTAAGAATATCCCATCTCCACACAGATCCTCAGCATAAGGAATCGTGAACTCCTCTAAAACTTTCTGGTAGACTCTGGCTGTGACTTTGGATTTAAGAAAGCAGAGTTTACCAACACCTGCACCAGACATTGCACACCTTAAAAAAGAATCATGACAGAATGGGTATTTCACACCGGACCTCAAGCAGCTCGGGTTCTGTTCCTCGTCCGTCTTCCTCCAAACCCTTGGACCTCAATTCCCCAATCAAAGGCACACCTTTCAGATGCGCTGAGTGTAGTAGATGATTAATTTGTGACACAGCTTAAAAGCTTCTTGCCCTGCAAAATTTGGGGTGATTTCTTCACTGTATTTTTTGGATTCCTGTTTTCGTGGCTTTTATGAGCTGGAAGCCTAGATTATGTAACAATAAAAATGTTAAATTATTTAACTAGTGGGTCCTGAATCCATTATCAATTAAATTATAACATTTTAAATGGAATTATGGAAATAATAAAAACGTTTCAATTATATTATGTTATTTTTTCGGAAAGGGTCTGTATACACACACACATATTAATACAGTGGGTAACCAACGTATTCAGACCCCTTTAAATTTTCCAAAGATCACTGTGGCTGAGCTCCAGAGATGCAGTAGGGAAATGGGAGAAAGTTCAACAAAGTCAACTATCACTGCAGCCCTCCAGCAGTTGGGACTTTATGAATGACCCAACGGAAGCTTTTCCGTGCAAGACATATGAAAGTCCATATAGAGTTTGTAATAAAAAAAGACTATGAGAAGTAAGATTCTCTGGTCTGACCAAGATTGAACTTTTGGGTGTTAATTCTAAGCGCTATGCGTGGAGAAAACCAGGCACTGCTCATCACCTGCCCAATACAATTCCAACAGTGAAACATGGTGGTGGCTGCATCATGCTACGGTTTTGTTCTCCAGCTGCAGTGATGGTTGCTGGTTGCAATTGAGGGAATGATGGATGTGGCCAAGCATGGAGATATCCTGGAGGAAAACCTCTTCCAGAGTGCTCAGGACCTCAGACTGGGCCGAAGATTCCCCTTCTAACAAGACGATTACGCAGCTAAAGTAACAAAGAAGTGGATTCGGAACAACTCTGTGACCATTCTTGACTGAGCTTTGAGCTAAACCCAATTGAACATCTCTTGACCAGAGATGTAGACTACCAGAAAATGGCCGTCTACCAACATTCACCATCCAACCCACACACCTGGGCCTGACAGAACAGGTCTCATGGCTGTATATATACATATATATATAAAAACACATACATATATACACCTACACGCATAGGAAAGAGAATGGCTCCCTGTTTAAATAGGACAATCACTGCTGAGTTGTTAGTTTGATTGAACAGCACTCGAGCCGAGACAGCCACTTATACAGGAACATCTTGCTTGTTGTGTGGTGGTGGAGAGATTTTTCAGAAGTTATGAAAGAGGAACCAAGGTAAATTTTGATTTCAGACATTTTTTATTTATCTGTAACATCCTATAAAGAGATACATTCACACACTCAGTATGATACAGGGCCGTTTACATAATCTTTTGCAAAAAAACAAAAAAAAACAAGATATGTATAAAACAGCTTAGTGAGTTGCTCATTTCAAGCCGAACTAAAAAAAAATTAAGACTTAAAATAACAGTTATAGTCGTCTGATATGAGGCTTCTAATGCCTCTGCAGGATGTAAAGCTGACAAATGAAGGTTACAATAATCAAAACAGAATTAAAAAAGTAAAATAAAAAGGCACAGAAAATTTAAAAATGTAAACAACAATCAGCAACATACTCAATGGTCATCCCGGGACAATAAACTGTTTTTCGGTTTCTCTGTCCCTTCAATCATAAAGGGCAGTTAATGGCTCTGGTCGTCCCTTTTTCCACTTTTCTTTTTTGGCTTTCATGCCCAAACGAAAGATCCCTCCACCAATACACACGAACAAGATGTTTCTGAGTATGGCTGTCTCACTAAATGAAGAATAAAAAAAATAAAAAAACAGAAAACTGAGCTGAGATTAAGAAGTTTCACCACAGAGGCCCAATAAAAGAAGGCAGTGATATGAGTGGAAACATGAAGTGGAACATTAACTCGTCTCCAAACTTACCTTCAGTTAAACACATGGACTCCACTAAAACAGTTAATTAAATGTGTCCTGTCTGATGGATGTTTGGGATGGAAGCTCTCACGTGCTGCTCTAAGGCGGATCAGGAGCAGCACGGTGAGGATACACAAACATACAGCCCTTTAGGATTGTATGGAATACACAACAACATCAAAATGGTCCCTACGGCTCCCATTTTGATCGATTATAGATATCAGGCTATGCTCTTATTACAACCACGAATGTTAGCACTGCATCATACGCCATCAGCCAGTTGTGTTGTACGGAAAACAACCATAAATTGAGTTAGGATAGAGCTCCCACTGTCTGAGCCAGTTTACCAACCAATGGGTTTCCACAGACCTCTCGGACTTTCTCTCTACTCAGTCACCACGAGTAAACCAGAAGCAAAAATTACAGTTTTTTTCCATAAAAAAATTAAATAAAGCTCAGTGAGCTTTGCTGGTGAGATACATAAAACTGTCACAAAAATTTACTTTGCTTCCAGATTCAATTTCCTCTGCTGTGTCTATGTCAATACAGTTTTTTTTTAAATATTTCAACTTAAAACTACTGTTTACTTTCATAGTCAGGGACTTAAGTGAAGGGAAAATGGAAAAAATCTCCCCAAAGGTCTGAAGTCTTGTAAAAAACAAAAAAAGCTAAGTGTAATCTTATCAGTTAGAAAGTAATGCTTGACCCCTCCATTTATGTATTTTCGACCAAGCACGGACCTCCTGTTGGATTTAAATGTGGCAACAACCATCAGGTATTCAAGCTGCACAAGTTTAAAATGAATTAATTTAATTAATCTCAGGACCAATGTGTCCTGCCGGGATCATTATCCTCATGTTCCTACAAGAGCATGAATATGTTTTATATTACAGGTTTTTACAAGCAGAAATAGTGGAGAAAAAATCCTTAAGAGGCCCCACCCTAAATGCGCCAAACAATGTCACAACTTTTTTGGGAAGATATCTCCCTATTTTGTCAATTCCCACCTACTGGAAATGAAGGTAGTCTTAGAAAAGACCACTAAACCTTGCTAGTCCCTGGTTAAAGTACCTGTAAATTCACATAAGGGGATTTTAGTCCGATTCCTCTGTTGCTATAGTTGGACACAAACTAGATATTTTTATTTCGATCTTTACAGGGCAATTTCTTAAAGGCAGATAGTCACTGGTTCAATTTCTGGCAAAGCCAAGCACAAGATAAGTGAAAAGACATTGCCTCTCCATATATGTCTGCACGTTGTTTAAGTGAAAGCCCAGGAGCCTGTACTACAAAGCAGATTCAACACATTCAGGTTATTTGGATCAACTCAGGTGATGAGGCTGTCGTATAGTATGAGATGATGACCCATCATAATCCCATGTGCACACCAGCCCCCAAGGAAGAGAGATATACAACCAAAGTAGAATTCTGGAGACTTGTGACTTGTGACCTATTCAAAATATTCAAACAATTCCAATGAATTCCTGCAAACATGCTATTCTATTTTTCAGGCTCTAAAATTCTCAATAAAAACTGATTTTAGGTATCAGCATGATTTTTTTTTTTTTTTTTAAGTAGATGATTCTCAGAGTTTTCCGGATTGTACATACACTGAGGTAAAAAGGGAGGGAATTTCTCTATGCCTTAAAAGGTCAGTCATTCATATCAAGATTTATTGTTTCTATAGAGTCTGTTATTAAGACTATGAATATGAAGATGCTTCTCAAATGGTCCTTTGACTTTAGTGAAAAAGAAACTAATTATCTAAGAATCTTAATTGGTCCAGATATAGTTCTATTACACTATGCCCCTCATTGTCATTTAGTACAAACCCCTGGGCATTCAAAAGAAAGTACTATTCACAGCAGTTTTTAACAGAATCTTTGGTAAATATTTTTAAAAACTGCTTAGCTCCACATTCATTATCAAAGAATTTGGCAAAAAAAAAAAGAGCTATGGGATCACGATTTCAGATTATCAGACAAATTTAGTCACTTTACAATTACAAATAGAGCAGCTCAGCACAGCGGTCACTAAACAAAGGCTTGGTCTTGTTAAAGCGTCTCAACGGAAAGTAAGACATCCCACCAGTTTAAACTAAAAATCTCCCAAAATGGTGGGTGAAATGTAAAGTAATTATACAAAAAAAACAACAACAACAAAGACAAAAGCTGGTGCTTAAATTAAACAACTCCCATACCGATGGAATAAAACAAAAAAAAAAACCCAGAAAGGCTGATTAAAAACTTGTGGGGAAAAAAAATTGTCATGCCAGCCTAAAGGAAGGACAACCACCTTCAATTCTCTACACAACTCCCTTCTCTTTGTTTGGTTTCTTGTCTCATAAAAAAAACCCAACCCCAAACAGAATTTTAGATTCACTTTGAAGAGAAGAGATAAAAACATTTCCACACTTACATTCAAGTGCTTGTGGCATTATATTGCATTGTCATATTACCTTACTTTACTCTAATTTTACCCACTGAACTTGCATTAAGCCTGCAATTTAAAGACATGAGATGAATTAAGTTTAAGGTAAAAAGAAAAAAAAACTTCTTATCATTATATATAATCTATGACTTAGAAATCGCTTTCTAAACTGCCTATTACACAGTAACCAGTTCACATTTAAAAGCGTGCAGAGGCAAAAAAGCTTATTGCTGCTATCAATGTGACGTGTGTAAAAAATACTGAGTGTTGATATTCACATTGTTTTTTACCAAGACTTTGTTTTGGAGGTGAGCTGCTGCACACACAAACACACACACACACAACCTGGTAACTGAGGCCAAATGACAGCTCATCATCAGAATGGATCAGCGTCGGCAGTAAAGTGCAAAGTCCACGTGAGGATCCTTTGAGGCTTAGCTCAGGCGTACAGTTAATGTTTTAAATCTGTGAGGAACCTTTGCATTGTAGGGTCAATGGTCAGAGAGGGGCAGCTGGATCTTAATGTAAACACATGGCAATGAGCCACAACGTGATGAGTTCAAGTGTAGTTTTTTTTGTTTTGTTTTTCAGTACCGGGGCTTAATGAGCTTGGGAAAATTGTCTTAATTTTCTTGTGAGATCCTAGCTTTGTTACCTTGGCCACATATCCTAAAAGCATCTCAAGATGTACAGAATTTTACAGAAAATTGAGCTAGACTGTCAGAGCCTCTAAAGGCTCTAAGGAACTCTCTTATTCTGGACTTAAAGCACTTTGTACACAAAAAGAAAACATTAGGCTAATTTAAGTGGTACAGCTTCACCTTACTGCTTGTATTAATAATCAAGTATAGTCTATCGGAGCCAATAAAAAAAAAAAATTAAAAATTAAAAAGAGTTCGGAGAGATTACAGTCACTGATTGGGAAAAGAAAAACAGAGGTGTCCCATCAGTGAACTATGAATCCAAAGGCTCATTTTTTGCACACAACAGCACAGAATACTTTACTTCTGTCTTTCTGTTTTGGAAGGTTTTTAAAGCTCAGGCTGTAGGTAAGTCCATATTTTCATTCCAGATCCAGTTCTTTTCAGTTAAAATTCAAGAGTCACACGCACTTTTCAAATTTTACCTGCTTTAAAAATGATAAGTATAAGTATAGATATATCTAAACAATTCCTTTGCTTAGTTTCCTAAATGACAACTATGTTCTTTTGTGTACCTTTATATGAAATGTTGCCATCATTTGCACTAGCCCAACAGCTCATAATACAAATGGAACTGCAACAGCTTTATCCAGCTGTGCTCGTTTTTAGGTTTTTTCTCTTATGGAAAAAGTTTTTATGCGCTGGATATAGTGTCAATTTTATAGCCTCAGCAGGGAGGAAATTCCCTGATTCACTGAATGAGCTATTGAGATCTAAGCATGAGGAAACTTTGAGCTCAACTGCATATTTCTCAGCTAAAGCAGGGGAGATTAAAAGATACACAGGTAATAAACCCATAATAAAACCGATGGCAATGAGTTAACAAAGGGGATTTTAGCACCACACGTCCCAATAAAACAGGTGCCAGAAATCGCCTTTTTATCTACATCAGATGATGCACAACTAACCAATGAATATTGGGAGACTTTTGGACAAGTTATTGTTTGTTTTTTTACGGGCCCACCATCGGCACTGTTTGACAAGAGAACTCCTTACTGGAGAACAGGAGGGAAGAGATGACCTGGACAGGGGGGCAGAAAGAGGGGCAGGTGGCTCCACAGTGTTGGGTCCTCATGGTAGACTCCTAAGACTTGCCTGCGTTGGCCACAAATGGGACAGAGCCAAACAGATCCTCTGGTGGAAGGGACTTGGTAGTGCAATCAGCAGGCGGCAGTTGGTCTGTTTCGACACTAGCTGTCCTCTCCACGGGCTTTTCTGTTCACAGAAAGAAACATGATCAAATCTACTTAATGGCAAGTACACACACATAGAAAGGGAACATCCCTACAAAATATTAAGACATCCCCTCAGCCTGTGCCCAATCTCCCATTAAAATACACTTGTAATGGTTTAACAACATCCTGTGATAGTCAATTAGAATTTCACTTGCTTGCTCTGAGCATGTCAAACTCCCGATTGATCAGCTCTTCCTCAGTTAATTTAGAGAAGTTGTCCTCGCCGAAAGGGTTCCAGCCCGACATGTCGGGTGGGTGACTGATGGTGCTGCTGCTTCCCTTGCAGGGTGTGCTGATTCCATCTGTGATAAGCAGAGGGTTTCTACTGCTGAGACAAAGCACAGAGACAAAAGTTATCCACGAAAATCCCCACCAGATTCCATGCAGAAAATGATCTATATTGTCTCAAAACTGGAAATCATTATCAGCAGGGAAGCCCCCTAGCCTTGAGTTAAAGATGAAAAGTTTAACGATTGAATTTATGCTCCTCAGAAAATGCATGCAAAGGCAGATAATGTGGGCTTCTGATGGAATTTTGGAAGAAAAAGACAGCATTAGACTAACCTGGGGTCCACAGGTGATGGTCCCCTTATCTGGCTAGCTCCACTTCCAGCTCCAGCTCCAGCTGTGGGAGTGGTGGAATTAAAGGAACCCAGGGGAATCTGGAACTCAAGAGGGGAGGACATATAGGGGAGAGGCTGCTGAGCGTGCTGCGGCGGCGGCTGATGATGCTGCTGATGCTGCTGCTGCTGGACAAAAGCCTGTTGGTACTGGTGCAGCTGTTAGGGAACGAAGAGAGGGACAGAAGGGGGAAGGGAATGAGGGACGGACCATTGATTTCATGGTGAATAATGATGATGAAATGTTGTTAGAAACCAGTTCTGGATTTGGAAAGCTGGGGACACGGTGGAGGGGAGGAATGAAGGAATGAAAGTCAAACATTCCATTGAACAAAAAAATCTGAAACACCAAGTTCAAAATGCAGTAAAATAAAAAGCGACAAATTCCACACGGTGGCTCTTTATAACGGGCTTCTTTAAAATGTGCTTTCAATATATATTTTGATCATTCCGCTGCCGTTCTTTTTACAGGCAATATTCCTTTAAATCTATAGTTATGAGCAGGTATCTTGGGAATAAGAGTAGTAACTGTTAAAGGTCCCCTCTTCCCCCGTCCGCGAACCACTTCATATGCCAGTACCCAGCGCGAATGAAAATACTCGATTTCACCCTCTGTTTGATCCCCCAGTGACTTTGCTCGGACCAGATTGCCTCTGAAATAAAGCAGATGGTATGCGTTCGGTGGGAAACGGGCTAAAAATTGCACCGCCCTTGCAACGCACATTTGGAAGACCTGTGTTTGTGTGTTTGATTTGATAGCTGCGTAAATACAAGTTTTCTGAATACTTGGACAGATTCAGTAGGAAGTTTGAGCGTCTGCTTCTGATACTGTTTGGCACAGGCGCCAGAAGCTTTGAGCAAAGAACAACTCGCTGCCAGTTTTTGGAACGGAGAGAGCAAACTTGAGTCACTCTGACATTAAATGAAATATGCAGCTCTGATATTTCACGCTGCGTCTCCATGTGTTTGTCATTTGCTCTATTTACTGTGCTAAGAGACTAAATCTTCTTTGAAGCGCTAACAGAATTAGCAGTTAGACGCCTTTTCACATGGCTGAAGATAATAATTTCGGTTCAGAGCGTAACTGTGCATTGTAACCAGGTTGAGACCTGTGCTCTTACCATGGCAGCGTAGTGAGCCTGAGCCTGAGCCTGGGCAACCTGCTGTTGATACATGGGCTGCATCATCATCTGCTGCTGCTGAAGCAGAGCCTGCTGCTGCTGGAGCTGGAGGGACTGCTGCACCGCCTGTTGGTACTGAGGAAAGATGCAAACACATTGTACGCAGTTAGTGTTCCTCCTAAACGTCCAACGTGAGATAAAACAGTGACTCCTGCGGTGAGAGCGGTTATGTACCTGGAGGTATTGGAGTTGCTGTGCGTTGGGGTGCTGCTGCTGCACAGCCTGTTGCTGCTGAAGCTGCTGTAGACGCAGGTCACCGGGCTGCAGCTGCTGCAGGACTCTGTGCTGCTGGCCGCTGGGTTGGACCGGCATGGATGGCTTTGCCGAGCCGGGCGTGGGAGCTGAGTGGAGGAGTGCAAATGGGCATCCACTGCCATTCAACTACTACCATTTCAAGATGAAGATAAACTAATTGTTGATGTCTAAATAACCAGTGACAACACAAACACTAAAACAACAAAAGCCATCTTTCTATTTAAAAAATTGTCCTATGAGGCAGTGGCTTGGACCTTTTGCATTCAAAAGTTGAATTGAAAATGATCTGTTTTGAAGTTCTCAGCCTCTCATATTGAAGAGAAGTACTGTTGCTCAATTTAATTGAAGATTGAATACATTTCTTTATGCCCAAATGTCTTAAGGCCCCTTCAGGTCTCGACTCCCTCTATTAGAAATGTCTTGCTGTGCTAGGTATTACTGTCTAGTCATTTTGCTCAGTCTTTGCTTCCGCCAAGTTTCTTCTATCAGATTGTTTTCTTTTGAAGCTGTGTTTGGGATAATTGAACATCATGCAAGTGTTACCCAGTTTCAGCCTAGCTTTATCTGTCTAACAAATGGCTTCACTTAGATTGTAAAGTACTTGGTATAGAGGGGAGTTCATAATGGATTAAAGCAAGGAGCCTAGTTCCAGTGGCTTAAAAAAAGTAATTAATTAAATAACAATAACAACTATTGTGTTGTGTTCTGTACAGAAAACAAAAGAGGAAACCCAGCCAAAGACAAAAATAATCAATCAGACATTTTCTAATTGCAATCTTTTTTTCTTTTTCTTTTTTTTTTAATACAAACCTTTCTGGCCATTGCTGACAGGTGCTGAAGTCACAGTCATCTTTACGGGGGTGACAGTGTTAGTGAGAGGCAGGATGTTACTATTTGGAGCTTTTGGTCTCTGTCTAGGAGCAATCGATGTTTCTGTTGGGCCCACGGAGTCTGTTATTCTGGTGAGAAATTTGAATATTAATAATCATTGTCTAACTTATTGGTCATCTTATAATTTGATTTCAACAGTATGACACACTGATAAAATTGAAAGATCTGCTGTCACTACCTACCTGGCTTTTGTCATACTTTTCTTAGCAGCAACCTCAGTCGCTGTTAGTGGCTCAGGAAGCGACGTAGGGATGGGAGAGTTCTGTAGAAGGCTTTATGTTACTATTTCCGAAAGATATAAACATGCTAAATGGTCGGGACAGGTGACTTACAAAGAGGTTTGGCACTGGACATTCTCTTCCAGCTATTCTGAAGGCAAAGTGGGACACTTGGTAAATGTCTGGTCTCTTCTCCTGGTCTGGCTCGAGCATATATCCTGAAAAACAAAGAGTCAGCATCAAACCATGGCTTTCGTGGCAGCTAGTGTGACTAATATGCATGTCTCTCTTCGCCCACTAGGGGAAGCTGTTTGCCAATTTTTTCAAAAAGAAGCCTCCACTGCAGGGCATTTAGGGGAAGTGAAATAATATGAGAGGAAGCAAACGCTGTCACGACTGGCAGCCCCTAACTGGTTCAAACAGGCTCATGTGAGCAAATGCATAACAAAGAAGGTTAAAACATTACCAGATGTTTACTGTTTTTTGTGATTAACACAGTGAAAATGAAAACAAGTAGCAGCAAAATGCATTCAAGCTAATAAAGTTACACTCTTTTGCAGAGTTTGCGATGATCAAACTTCACTTTAGCAAAATCTCAAGTTGAAGTCTTTCCCAGCATTAAGTGGAAGAACAGAAGCCTTTGAAATGATAAGAATGCCTGTAAGTCTAAAGGTAGGAATTATTTAACACTAAAATCATTCAAATACATGTTTTGATATTCTGCCAGTTAAACACATGAAAAACCAGCAACTTACTGATTAAACAGTGCAACTTGAAGGAGAATTTGGAGTTATCGGGAACAATAAAGGTTCCATCACATATGGCAACTTGACTCTCCCCAAATGGAAGTGTGAAGAAACACAGCTTGTACAACAAGCATCCAAGTGCCTTTGGAAGAAACACACACACATGAAATAACTTATCCAGTTACGTATATACTAGTTACATCCTGCTTGAAACTTTGTAGTGTTGCTCTTGAACTGAAACAAGACTTTTGGCCAACATTCCGGCCTGCTTTCAACTGCTCGCTTTGAGTTGTATTTTTCTATAATCTTCACCCACCCGTTGAAGTTGCAGCAATCAGTCATTGGTGGTGTTTGTAGTTAGCTTATTTCAGACACAATTATAGCTGTATGGGCATCAACTTAATCTCTTAAGGTGAGGTATATGAAATCATCCTTGAACCATGAAACAGACTTTTCTGGCACCTACATTACAACTTGCCCATCTGCTGTAACACTCCTATTGTGGCGGATTTACGGGATTAGCTGGATCACTTTGCTAAAGAGTCATCAACATTTATGACTTAATTCTGTCTACATTCAAAATGAGCATGAGCTATACTAAAAAGAGTTCTAAGGAGTTTAATTGATTTAAGTCTTTAAAAATTTAATAAACTATTCCCAGACTGGCAAAAACCTAGGCATTTGATATCATGATATAGTTAGTTATCGTAATACATATTTGAACATTAAAATAAAGTAAGTCCCAGTACTGACCAATGTTAATATGTTTGCTTAGTTAGGCCACTTCAGAAATGTTTAAGATAAGAGTTTGACAATATAAAGAAACCATGTCATCTGCATTAACACGGTTGACTATATTTATGTAAACATAAACAAAAATTAATACTTTCAGCATATGATGTTATCTTAGGGTGTATTGTAGAGGGCTGAAGTTTACTTTGCACAAGAAAATAATCCTCTAACCAGAATACTTAAAACACCTGAATTTGACATAATAAAGTAAATGTGTGAAATGCAGTAGAATTTGTATTGCACACGTTGTGATAAATATGACAATCCTTTGATATTAAAGCTGATCCATTTGAGCTAAATAGCAAAGGAAAAAATAGAAGTCAAAACCACAGTTTGCTTTCTGTCAAGAAATATATATGTAAAATATATGTAAAACTGTTCAGCTGCCAAACATGGTTTTTCAATAGGAGCTAAATTTGGATCCAGCTAATTTTTCTTTCCCAGATGATGCAGCTACAGGTGTTAAAATTTAGGAAGTGCTTTTTCTTTAAAAGCTCCATATTAAGACAGATATTCTTTAGTGTTCTCCACTTACCAAGCTAAACCTGACTGATGTAAGCTCTTATTTTAAGTCAGACAGCATTTGTGCCAACAACCTCATTAAACATGGATTAATGCACAGCATTTGTCTGATGCAGGGAACAGCTTCGAGTTAAATGCGACTAAAGGGGAAGAAGTGAAAAAGCAGGAGGTAGCTGACAGGAAGCAAGTGTCGTTTTGTTCCCGAAGGTTCATTTAAGACCTCTGCACTGGTTTAAGACATGCAAAACAATACAAGAAAGTCCTACTGCATCAGAAATGTATGTGTACTAAGTGTGTCACCAACAACCTTATCACATTAGCTCAATGGGTTTTACACTGCTCCAAAATCTGGCTTCCATCCAACCTCTTGTTCTCACTTCTCTGCCTCACACCTTCAAAACAGCTGAGGCCCAATTTCACACAAGCTTATCAAGGTCCTTAACTGGGTCTAATTATCTCAAATGGAGAGAAAATAGGAGAGAACAGGCAGGGAGGACTGATCTTAGATGAAGCCCAGGATTTTAATGCTCAGTCTTTCTTTGAGGAAAAACACAAAGAGGTAAACTACTCTGACAGGTTTTTCCTTTCTCACCTGCTCTTGGATGAGTGACACCCAGAATGCTAAGGGGAAAACCAGCTGTGAATAACACACACACACACAGACTTGCTGTGAACGAAGACCCAGTAGGACCTACCCATATATCAGCCTTAGTGGTGATCGGTTTTCCTCCGTACAAGTTAATCATCTCTGGTGCCCGATATGAAAGGGTTGTGTACCTGCAAGACAGAAACAATAGGGAGCATTCAATGATGTAACAGATCCCAAACAACTAAAAAAACAAACAACATTTTCCAATTTACCTATTATTATGCAATTAGCACCACAAAAAAGGTGATTTGGGTAGCTTTGGGTAGATGTTTCTATGTGCTGCACATTTGATGACTCATTTTCATTGTTACAAAACAAAGTAAGAACAGCTGTTAGTGAAAGATGTCCACTCGAAATCAAATCACAGATGTATTTGAGAAGGATTAAATAAAGCACATTAACATGACAAACATATTCCTTTGAGGCTGACAGCATGAATTGCTCAGGCTAATAGATTAAAAGGTTAGGATAAGATTTTCACATCTAATTTTGGGACATAAAGCAGGCCCTTGTTCACCCTTTTTGACCCTTTAATAGCATCAGAGTTTCTTGTGCAAAGACATTCCCGGGTGAAAACTTGCGTGTCTACCTGCGGATGGCCCGAGCAAGGCCACTGAACAAGGCAAACCTGTCCTATTTGCCATAGCTGCCGTCACTTACACCTCACTACTTTTTCATAATGTACTGCCATCCCATTCCTGCTTTCTCTGACTCACATAGAATTTATCGCACAACCAAATGACAATGCAACCTTAATAACCTCCACTCTTTAAAAAAAAAAAAAAAAAAAAAAAAAAATCTATGTGACACACCCTTGTCTGTGGGGGTTGTTGAAGCTCCAATCAGCAGTAAAGCAGACTTCATAACTATTACTGCAAAACACTTGACATTCTGGTTCTCACTGAGACCTTGATTAAACCTGAAAACAACTGTATTTTCACAATCACAAAGTCTCCCACACCTCTTGTATATCTGGAAGAGGTGGTGAAGCTGCCAAACAAATACAAAAACAATCAAATGATACTGAAGCCGTTCTCCGCACCGATCAAAACCTGCATAATTGTCATATATCACCCACCCGGACAACTGTGTGACTTTCTAGATGTACTAGATATTTTTCACATGACACCTCACCTCAGCACTTTTCTGACCACTTTTTCAATCAATGAGAAGTGAGGCTCCAAAAAAGAACCCCCTGCTTCCTCCATGGTTTCCTTCCACCATAACCTCCACAGCCTTACACCCACCCACTTCTCCTCCCTTGTTGCATCCGCTCTTACAGCCTCCAACACATTTTCCTCCCATGAGGTTAATGAGGCCATGGAATCCCTCTGCTCCACACTGAGGAGAGGGACTTGGATTGTCTATGTCCTGTATCCACCAAGCCTGCACGATCCTCTCAGTCCCACTCATGGCTTAATGATACAACAAAGTTGCACCAAACTCAGGGCTGCAAAAAGAAAATGGCACAAATAAAACAAATCTAATACAATTGCAGCTATTACCGTCAGTATTCTGATTAAACGTCACTGATTCAAAAAAGGCATTCTACATTGATAATAGTCACAGTGCAACTGACGCCCGGAAACTGATTTCCATCTTCAAAACTTTGCCCTAAACCACTTGCTACCGATCTAACACTTTCACCTCATTTTTTGCTAATACAACAACAAACAGTTTACCAAACTGCCCACTACTGACCCTTCTCAAATTACGTACATGTGCACATAGAAGTCAGACTGCCTAATTTTTTTTATTCACCCCTCTCAGTGTGTCTAAACTTCTCACATGTAACCATTCTATTACATGCTTGTTAGATCCTATTCCTATTAATTTATTCTACTCCACATGTCATACAGTAACCGCAGCAGTCACACGTGTGATTAATGCTTCACTACGTCATTCAAGCAAGTTCGGGTTACACCAGTGTTCAAGAAACCTTCTCTGCCACCGACTCAGTTGGGAGAGAAGGTCCCATTTCCGTCTAAGACCATTGAAAGGGCAGGTCACAGAATACCTCTTGCAAAGCAACCCCCTTGACCTAAAACAATCTGGGTTTAAAAGGGGCCACTCCACTGAAACAACTCTGCTGGCTGTAATAGAAGCCTGAAAAGAAGTCAAAGCAACATTTAAGTCCTCAGTGCTCATCCTACTTCACTTGTCGATTGCATTTGACACAGTCAATCATAACATCCTTTTGTCTATACTCTCAAGCATGGGCATCACAGACAGAGCACACTCCCGTTTTGAATCTTACCTCACAGGTCAATCAATCTTAGTATCCTGTCTTGGTCACATGCTGCTGCTGCGCACTACTTCGCCACAGGTCCCCGTGAGGGTCAGTAGTGGAACGTCTTCTCTTTGCCCTTTATACCATCTCACTGGGCCAGATCATCTGATCACATGGTTTCTAATACAACTGCTATGATACCCAGCTCTATCTGTCATTCCCATCCGACAACTACAAGCTCTTGACTACTGCAACACCCTCCTGATTGGTCTCCCAGCCTGTATTGTACAACCTCTACAAATGATCAAGAACACGGCACGTCTGGTCATTTACCAGCCTTAAAAAAAAGGCCACATCACCGCCCCTATTTATTGAGCTTCACTGGCTACCCCTAGCCACATGCACCAAGTTCAAGTAACTAATGTTAGTCTGCAAAGTGCTTAAGGGTGCAGCCTAAAGACTTTTGTAAAGGCTTATGCCTCAACTTGTCATTCCAGTCATCTATGGCTCATCCCTACAACACGCATAAGATAATCTTGTGTCATTCCAGAACGGTGGAAGGACCTACCAAGCACTACAAGAATTGCAAATCCCTGTCTATCGTCAAGAAACTATTGAAGACCCACTTCTTCTCAGATCTCTTACCCTAACTCTTCCCTCATACCTCCCCTCCCCTCTACACTTCCCTCTATCTGGAAAACAAAGACTTTTCCTTGTAGCGTCTGCCAACCAACAGATAACAGTATCACATGGTCACCCCTCGAGCTTTATCAACCCTGTCAACTACAGTAAATGGATTGGTCTAGAACTATGTAATCCAATGTGCAGTCAAGACTGCTATGACTGACATTTCACTTCAGTAATAAATTAAAAAGGAAAAAGTAAGAAACAACCAGATTTCTCCCAACACATCCCCATGGACAGGAACATGGGTGGGGTACACCATGGACAGGTCGCCAGTCTATTGCAGAAAAAACAACCACAAACACTCACATTCACTCCTAGGGGCAAACTGGAGTATCAAATTATCCTAAAATACATGTTTTTGGACAGTGGGAAGAAGATGGAGTACCCGGAGAAAACCCATGCAAACACAGGTAAAACATACAAACTCCACAAAGAAAGGTTCCGGTCCCCCCCGGGTACTTGAACCAGGCACCCTCTTGCTATGAGGCAATGGTGCTAACCGTTTCGACCACATTCCTTTGAAAAATTTTGGAATAAGAAAGAGTGGAATTGCTTTTGTCTACTAATCCAAATGGACTACTCTGACATATTTTAAGCACTCTTAATTACAAAGAAATTTTTGGTGTATTGACTGACAAGATGTTCTTAAATATGGCGTGTTTTAAGTTGATTCATTTACATAAATCTGTAATAGAAAATACAAACATCTGAAACAGCAGCACTTTGGCTTGTTCTGTGAAATTAAGAAGATCATTTTGGGAAATTTGGGATGTCAAAAAATTCCCTAGGCTTAATTCTTTATTTCATGTTATGTTTTTGGACTGGTTGGGAAGACATAAAACCAGGACACATCCCAGAAAAGGTACATGGTTTGCCCTCAAAATACCATTGATTTGATTTTGTTTTTAGTTCAAGTTAATTCTATATCAGAACCAAATCAGTTCAGCAGTTATGCAAAAGTTCATGGGCCTGATGTTTTCTGTATGCTTAGTGGAATGAGGGAGGGAGAGTCATATACTGCTGATAACCACCACACATCACACTTTATTGCAGCTATAAACGTGGGAAAGTGAGTTGACTGACATCTGAGATTTGCCACAAAACAAATACATTAATCATGATTGATAACAGAAGAGCAAATGAGCCAGCTACCAGCTGATGAAACATCTTTGGAAAGGGTTGACAGATTTGTGTTTGCGGCTACATGCATACTTTGGGCCCACTATTTTTGTACAAGTTGGGTCCTTTGTGCTACTTCCTATGCGACTCAGTAGCTTGTTCTTTGACTTTGAGGACAACAGCCTCTGATTTAAACACTTTGTACAACACAGCTACAGTGGAAGCACACTAGGTCATTGTAAACTCATTTTCTTTGCTACTTAATGCTGGATGGTGCCTTACACACTGAGCAGCAGCTGTGTTTTCCAAAGTTTTTAAATGTGATATAATGATGTGGCTCTAGGGGCAGAAGCATTCTTGTAAGTTCTAAATATGAAGCAACCCAGAAATCGCACAAGCCAACTCTTTAAACTTCTTGAAAAAGTATTTAAATAATTAAGGTGTTATAAATGTAACTGTTTCCCTACTTTTAAAATGAATTTGGACGTATGGTAACCTTGGGTCATTTATTTACTTGAAATGTCCAACCCCATAAAGGCATTTTGAAGATCCAAGCAGAAACGAGCAGGATATAAATACCATTGTCAGAAATTTCCACCATGTGTTTAAAGCAGCCATGTGAGGAATTAGTCTAAAGGTCTGATATCTCCAGTATTGCTTTTAGGGAAATACCAGTGACAGTAAAAAAAAAAAAAATTAAATTAAAACACACGAGGGCAAGTTTAAAGACTTCTTTCACTTTTGACCAAGACTTACTTCTTGATCTCATCCTCCACTGCTGTCACTCCATCTTTTGGGGGCAACAAAACTTTGTGAGTGGCACTTCCAAAGTCACACAGCACGTAACTTCCCTGGTCGTTCAACAAGATATTTTCAACCTGGAAAATGGACAGACGGAATGTTTAGACTTTTTAAAAGGAGAAACGCTCACATCGAAACCCATCATTTTAAGAAGAACAATCATGTCATTCAAAGTCAACTTTGGTCCTCATCATTCCAATAAAGTCATTGTAGTTCAATGAAGTTTCAGTAGGCACCCAAACTTTAATGGCGAACGAAAGGAAAACATATTAACTGTGTTCAATCTTAAGATTTCAAGAGTAAGACTTTAGGGTGCCTCTTAAAACTGTTACTTGCCCTGAAAGAAATTTGTTATTGTTCTCGAATTGGCAAGAACATGAACAAAGTTAATTGTGGCTCCGACATTTCATACTTCAATTCAGCTGCTAGAATCTTAGAAAGTTCTGCCAACTGAACTCTCATCTGCACTAAGATTGTAGAAATTTCCCAGACAACACACTGCAATGGTATAGAGAAAAGTTTTTGAATTGATGATGGAAGAGGGAGACATAAAACTTTCTTCTACCCCTGAAATAAGTGGAAGAAGATTTTTTTATTGTCACCAAGAGTTGTTAAAGAAATTGTGAAAACAGGTGAACACAGGGGGCACATTCAACAGATGGGTGAGATGGACGATGAAAGACCCTTTTCATACTTCAGGATATCAGCCATTTTGAGAACTTTGTTCGTCAAAACCTGGCCTTTATCTAGCTTGCATTCATACAGCTGGATGAAGGCCCCATTTGTAGAAGCGGCAATCAGAAGTGGCACTTCAGGTGGCAGCTGCCATAGGGCGCCACCCTAGCCACAAAATAAACGGTAAATATATATAGGCTACTTAAGATCGCAACTAACAGCAAACTATGGCATCCTCCGTAGCCAGGGACTTCCACATAGTCACAGCATCTATTTAAGTTTCTATTTAGTTTTTCTGTGTGCGAACAATATGTTCCCCAAATGAACAAACTATTTGTGGAATGCTTCTTCTTCGTCATCCTTGTTGGTACGTTCCAATATACATTAGGCTACGTAGGACATAGTTTAAATCTCAAGTAGCCTAAATGCACTCAACATTTATTTTGTATCCAACACTGGTTATGAAATGACAATGACGTCAACATTTGAACGCAGGGCGATACTTTAAACCACAGGCAATATCTAATACTTCAACCTAATCGCATCCTATTTCCTGATAGTCTGCGTTAGCTTCTGCAAAAATGTGGGCAGTATCTTAAAAGGTTTTTACAATGTGCCTGGCACACTGTGGCACCCTCTGGCAGCTACCGCAGCTGCCACTGGAAATGCCATTTCTGGTTGTCACTGCAACTAATTGGGCTCGGTTCTACACCCACAAGCTAACCCAACCTACTCCCAAAAAATTCTGGTGACAACCGTTTTTGGACACCTTGCAAGAAACATTTCAGCCATTTAACCACTGGGGCCTCGACTTCTCCTTCACATTTCCTTTCTAAACACAAGAAAAAAAGAAATGTCAGTGGAGCAGTGTTTGAAAAAAAGACAGAAAAAGACGAAAAGCATGGGTAAAAAGTGCACACTTTAAGGCAGGAATCCAGTGAGGTATTTGAAATCTTTATGTTGGACTCCATCAGGGGAAAAAAACATAAAAATTGAAATACCACAGAGTGTCTCAATCTGTTGACAGCTCAGGGTTAAGGGGCTTTTTTTTGCAGTCTCACTTCCCCAGGCAATGCGTGACTGGGCCTCCGTGGTCTTTTGTGTCCTTGCAATGTTATGTAATCTGTGTAGGCAGAATAGATAGGCAGTGAACAGAGGACATGCCTGTGGAGCTGAAGGGACTGACTGTTTAGAGGCCTGTCCAACTGGACTGAATACAGCAGCCCACTGATGGGGCACTAAGGAGAATTCAACCAGGGTGGGAAATTACCACAAGTCTGTGAGCATCAGCAGAATGAAGTGAAAGTTGGCTCCAGGCCATATTCTCTACTTCAATTCAACTTGAAAAAAACAAAACAAGGGTAAACGAGATACTCTAACATTTGCCAGGTTTTTTTATAATGAAAAAGTACTGTAAGTGCGCTGAAAGAATAGATAGAGAAGAAAAGGTAGAGAAGAAAAGAGAGGATGGTGGAAGGTCCTTGGACAGACAAGGAAATCACATTACAAACAAGAACAAGCAGACTAGTTGGTTAGTGTTATTTTAGTTATATTATGTCAGTCCATCAGAAAGTTTATTTTTTCCATTTCTTTATCCATGTCTCTTACTCACATTTACCCATATTTTATGTCAAAAGGACATGTTGGCCGGAATGTTCTAGTTTGCATAGCTTCAAGTTCATTTTGTTAGGATGTTCTTATAAAATGTCCTTTCTGAAAATGAACACTGCAGATTTGTAAAATAAACAAAAATCCAGTTCTCTCATAGTTTGGCATCTTTGGGTAACACAATGCAACTTTATTCCTTCACAGTCGGCATCAATTCAGATTATCTTTTAGGAGCTAAAAAAAACAAATAAGCTTGTTCTGCTACAGTTGCTAGTTTTTCATTTGAATAGTTCCTCACAGAGATGTAGAATCAGTACTCCATATATAAACATAAAAGCTTTCATACGTTGGCTTTTTGAGAATATATGCCGTGCTCTACGGATAACACAAAGAGGTCAAACAACCGATTTTCCTCAAATAACTTTCAGGATTCATGACCGATTAGAGCAGGGGTGGGCAATTAATTTTTAAAAGGGGCCACACAAGAAAACTGACTTGTGTTGGAGGGCCGAACCAACAATAACATGAGCTTAATTCTGCTCAGTATTAATTTTTCCTATTGTAAAAAAGATAGAATTACATATCTGATTAGTTACTACTGGTATTCAGAAGAATAAGAATATTCTGTAAATAGTTATATAAATATATGAAATTGTAGTGTAGGAAAATACTTTACTAAAGTAAGAAACAATAATTGCATCAGTGTTTCATTTTATCTTTAACACGTTAATTTTCCCAAATACTGAAAAAGTGTTTTACAGTATATTAAAGATAAGCAACTGTCAACTTCATGCAAAAAGCAATAAATGCTTTTGATGTTTTACAGTTCATTTTACATGCTCAGTGGGAAAAATCCAGCCTGCTCAGGGCTTGAACAAGTGCATTGAAATCTGGCTGAATGTCTGAGGTGGATATGCGCAGGACAGCTGAGAGGTGGTCATCAGTGATAGAGGATCTGTAATTGGACTTGTTGAACTTCATCACTGAGAATGTCTGTTCACAGACGTGGTTCACAGTGGCGGTTCAAATTGTAATCCTTAAGCACGGCGACCTATACACCACAAACTAAGCACATGGCTTTACCTTTGACCTCTGTAAATAAATATTTAGCAGTCCATGTCTTGTTGAAAACGTGGCATACTGTGTCGATTTTCCCTCTTTTTGCCGTGGGCTGACATGTTGAGGGCTAGCTCACCAGCATCACTTTTTTTTCTTACGAGCATCACCTGTCGCTGTTCGCTTACGCATGTGCGTCACTACGTAAATATAAAAAAAAAAAGCAATGGCAGTCTTTTCAAAATAAAAGTAACACTGCCGTATTTCATGCTCAGATTAAATAGGCCTATTTTTTGATTTATGTTTTAATTTACTTGACTTCATGCGGGCCAGACAGGGACAGCCAACGGGCCGGATGTGGCCCGCGGGCCGTAAAATGCCCAGGTCTGGATTAGAGCCTAAACCAGGTTCATTCAACAGGACTTTTAGAGCAGTAATTGGTTTATAAAACATTGAGCAAAATAATAAAAGATTAAAAGAATAAAAGAAAGGAAAAAAAAGGTGTGTTATCTTCACCTTTAGGTCTCTGTGGATGATGGGCGTCTTGCATTGGTGAAGGCGAGCCACAGCTTCGCAGGTGTCGCAAAATATCTGGAGGACCTCGGCCTCACTGAAGCCCACATTTAACCGCTGGTTCATCTGCTTTACCACCTGACCCGCTGCAGAACAGTGGTGGAAACATAGTTCATCAGTTCCGGTTTGGCAAGTAATATCTGCTAGCTATCGCGGTGTTTGACCATGCGAAGGTCACCTCCTACAGTGTGTTTGTTACCTGTAACCACAAATGTGTGCATGTAAACTCGTCCAATGAGGGCAAAACTGCTTATAACAGGCTTCCCTAAAGTAAATACCAAGTCACCAAGCAGTACAACAATACAAAAGGGAGACCAAGCCAGTAAAAGTATTATTATCATTATCAGAACTGAATGTGCGAGTGAAATGTGACTGTAATAAATCAGTTAGCACACATCTAATGTACATGACTTTTAGAGTTTACATAGTCATCATTTATTATCAACACCACATCATGTAAATAAACATGATGCAAACCATAGGAATACATTCAGGACAAAATCATATCTACAAAAGGAGGGTGTACCTTTACAGTACTCCATGAGGATCAGAACTTCCCAAACACTGTCTGAAACGGAGTTGATTGTGGAGTCCAGGTACCCGACAATGTTCTTATGGCCCGACAGCTCCTTCTGCAGACGAGATGAAAATATGTTAAAGATCAGGAAAACACAGATAAAACAAAGCTAGTAGGAACACCTACAGATCTGAGTGTAGATAGAGAGCTGCGGGTGCTGGGATTCCAAAATTGTGTGCACACATTATTAATGTTTTCATTTCAGTGTAAAAATTCAAATACGGCATGGACACTGCTGCTTTGATCAAATAAAATAATACTCTGCTTTGTTGGCTAGGTGATAAAAGCAAAACACATGGAAGAGAACAGACTAATCAAACAAGTTAGAAACACCACTAACACTACTAATGCAAACTTAGGGCCATACAAACATATTCATTGTATACAACTTAAAATCATCAGCAATCCGGTGAGTGACTGTTCACAATATTTGGTATGCCTGCGAGTGTGTCTACAAATGCAAATGTGTGACATTTAAATGTTATACATAGCAGCAACAGAATGAAAATTGTAAAGTGTGAAGATTTTAAAGTTTTTAAAAATGTTTAGAAGAAGCTCCTGTTTGCTGAGGACAGCAAGAATGTCTGCTGTTATCTCTTTTGTTCTTACGCCATAATGGTCTCTCCACTCTGCAGATTTTTTTTGCTTTAGTTTATTCATCATAGAGTTTGATCGTAAGTTATCAAATGCCAGCATGACAAGAGGGGCTGCTGTGTGTCATGGAAACCAACACACCTAAAGGCAATGTCCTAACAGGCCAGAACATTCAGCGTTTAAGGTCAGCTGTGTGTTGTTGAGTATTACACATTGTGCCAGATAAACAATGTGAACACACACATACACACATACACTGTATGAACAGCTCAGAATGAGCAGCTGGCTTACATTCAACATTGGTGATAAGACATCTGTTGCTGTCAGACTGCATTGAAAAGTTTTGGAATAATTGATTAAATTCCAGTCCGAATAAAAAAATGTAAATAAATAAAACTTACCCTGCATGGGTAAAAGGTGTTATTCAACTATGACAATGTTTAAATCCATGCTTTGAAAAAAATAGTTATTTTAAGCCATGCATATGACATATGGCTCTTTGCAATTAAATTAATTATTTTTTTAAATATTTTTTTACATTTTATGTTGAAATGTTTTTATTTGCCTTTTGTGAAAATAAGCACTTTGAATTGCCATTTGTACAAATTGTGTTCTACAAATAAACTTGCCTTGCTTTGCCTTGTTCACCAGACAGGATGCATCATGAAACACCGTCCAGCTCACAACCAAACAAATTTAGAAATAAGAGGCAGGAATCCATTTAAAACCTTGTATTATTTTTATAAAATATCAAAATGAGGTATGAAAGTTTTACCCAGAAACTGGTGCTAACTCAAAACAAGAAAATGGCAAAAATTAAAAGTTATTTCCAGTTTGTAACTTCTGCAGCAGCCTCATTTATGTCCAAATTTAAAAAAGCAAGACAGCCCAAAAAAATTCATCTAGAATGAGGAGCAGCTCTCACTATGATGGTGATCTCTCTCTTGTAGACGTTTAGGTCTGGCACGTTGTTGACGTACATCCTTTTGAGGGCACAGCGGACCCCGCTGTGTGTACGGGCCAGGAACACCACTGAGAAGCCTCCTATAAATACACAACAGGAAATATTAGTTAATAAGCATAAGAAAAAAATATACCTGCTTTGACATGAGAATCACATAAGTTGAAATTATTAATAAAATATTATGTGGGGTTTTAACCAAATGCAGTGTTGCACAAACTGCTGCTGATTCTGTGGAATATAATCTATGTTTTAAAGCGTATTTGTTATAAAGATGTCGGTTTGGAGTGACAGCAGATGTCACTGTGGTGGGCATTCAAATATATTAACCAAAGAGAGTGCTGTGCCTTTAGCGAGATAATGTATTGGCTGAGAAAAGGTACAGATGTGAAATGAGAGCAAACAGAGGGCAGAAAGAGTGTCAAATAAGGACTAATCAATCAACATCGCTTACCTAAATGTAAAATATTGTTTTGCTCCAGAGACAGTGAAACATAACAGTGGAAGAGCAACTACTTCAGACCTAAAGTATAGTGTTTGTCTACAGTCATAGCAGTGAGTGTTACTGTAGAGGAGACGATCGGATTAGAAGGGATGACTGTTGCCTTTCGGCAGCACAAAACAGGCAGATAATAGAACAAAGTAGAAGCTGCTACATCAGAGCCTCAGCTGATAATAAAGCTAGAAACAAAATCCAGCAGTGAAAATGAAAAACCACAGCCTGACACACAGACGTGGCCTTTTCCTGGGGGACAGGCTTCATCTGCTCTCGTTGGACATTTTAAAAAGAAACCATGTAAACCATGAGAAATCCCCATGAAGTTCAGCTCGTGTAGAAAAATTATGTCACATAAACAGCTGACAAAATCAAATTAGGTGGTGTGACAGAAACAAAGTATTCATTATTGAGTAAACTTTATTTGTTTTCACTGGAAGAACTGAATAAAGACTAGAACAAACTAACCCAAATGAACAAAAGTAATCATGAGAGATTATAAAAAAGCATGCTGTTGCTTTCTTGAACGGAGCAATACAGCAGCTTTATTTGCAGACAGGCTGCCATTTTAACCAAGATAAAACTAGGGCAAAAGCCTGCTTAAACCGAGTTCTGGAGCTACTAGAAGCTGCTAAATGATTTACCTCGGCCTTCTAGTGAGCAAAGGTTGGCTCGATGGTTCGTTCGATCAATTAAAGCCTTAGATCAGGCTTGAATTGATTTCCCTTTCACAAATATGTCCAGAACACAGCCGTCTAGAGAGCTGAATTATATGGCATCTTGTGAAAGACAGAAGACAGGAAGATGTCATCCTTCGTAGTCTTTCCAAGAAAATACATGGTGCCTATCTGTGATTCATCCAGCATATGTCAAGCTTTGTGGGCTTCTATTTTTTTTTCGACAAATTCTATTAATCAAATGAACCATTTCGGACTTGTTGTCCAGGCTTCCATGACAGATTATGGTCATGTTGAGCTGGACATGCACAATTATTATACATCAAATCAGCCGATGTCAGCTGGCTTTTCCACCGCAATCTTATCATCTCTCTCTTGCCTGTAAACCATCTTAAAAGGTGTTTCTTAACAACAAACATGTTGTTACTGGTTATATGTCGCAGCTAAAGTCTCTCTGGGAAAAGTGTGATGAATGTTTTTCAACAATACAGGGGGATCCCTGTATTTTTTTGTGGTGTCAAAGACGATGGGTCAAAGACGTCTGTGTGGAGTCAGGGCTTTTTGCTCTCACTTAGAACACAGTTGTTTAATTAACATATCATACGTGTGTCTATAAACTGAGTTCAATACGGTGCCTTTTGCTCTTCCCTGACTTAGGCTTATCCTACATCCGTTTCACTAACAGATGTCACTGTGTAAGAAGGATGCTTTCAAAATTGTTAACAGCATATTTAACTAACTCCACGTCTGCCTGGTTGTTCTTTCACTGAGAGGGTTTATTTGCTGCAGGATCAGGTTCAAACTAAACCACCAACCCAGGGGCTTTTGTAGCTTCCTATGCCTGTGCCAGCCACAGATTTGATCAATTGTTCTCCTGATTGGCTGTGGAAAGGATGACTGGTTGTGGTGCATCTTGGTGTCCGGCTTACAATCTTTCTGGACAGATGAGACGAGATGAGATGAGCTGTACGATTTACTGGCCTGTCTGACAACAATTTTTTTTAAAATGTAACTGTTTTTTGATCATGATAAGAACTAAAAAAGGATGGACCATAAGTCACTTATTTTTCCATTCTTGAAGGCTGTCAAAAACACCCAGAATACAGCTGTCATTTTCATCCTGCTTCCCTTTTTCTCACTGCTTTCAAACGCTACCAGATGAATTCATTTATCTGCCTGTAACCTACGATAGCACACAAATTCTAAGCTATTGTTGTAAAAGAAAGAAAGGGCAACCAATCAAATCAAAATTGGGTTAAACTTCACACTTTTATTCGCTGACGACGAAAACAGGAAGATCAAATGTAGCCACGTCCTTCAGCTATCACTTGGGTACTTCTCAACTCCAGAACTCGGCGACCATAAGTCCCATATCTCTACTCGTAGCATTTCCCTTCCTGCTCGTCTTTTATCGGGCTGCACCCAGAAGTGGAGATGTGGGTGCTTCGTGAGGACATGGTCAGCTGTCAGCAAACAGTTGGGAGGAAAATCCCAAAGTCGTCAGGCCAAGAGGGAAGCCAATGGGGACTGACATTACGGTCTGGCCGCTGAGCAAGAGCTGTCATTACTAAAGAATTTCACCCACCATTACATCGAGTTCTTTGGACACCGATGTCACTGAAAAGTGTTGCAAATGGGGACAGGCGAGGCTAAACTACTTAAGAGTTTGAAAGGGATATTTACAGTTTATATAAGAAGGGACAGCTGGCACTTAGTTGGCGCACAGACAGGAGAGGTTTGTGGTTTCTGCTCAGGCACAGAACGCAGATGTTCTTCCTCTGAAGCATGATGTCATCTGCGAGCGAACATCTCTGGTCTTCTATTCAACTCGCACTTTTCAACTCCCACTTTTTTTTGGGAAGGCGAAGTACATTTCAAGCAGGCTGAGGCATTTTCTTTTCGAGGCCCTCCCATTGCTTTACAGTCCACAACACTTCCCTTTAAAGATTCCAAAGCTGTCAAACGTAAAAGATAAGGCTATCAGTGCAACCTTTCTATCTATCCAAATTCGTTTAGACTGAGAATCTGTGATAGGTTGCAAAGTCGATCTTCATTTTCTAAAACCCTCTCACTTACAAATCTCATCTAGGCTTTTTTTCTCGACTTTCGTAATAATCAAACCAGGAAGTGAATCCCCCCTTTGGAAAGCCAGTTAAAGGAACACAAACACAGATAAACTATCATCTTATGTTCAGCTACCACTGCTATACACTTATTTGACTTACATTTGCATGGTTTTTTTGTGGTGGGGAGGAACTGTGGCTGATTTCTGTGCAACTTGTTGATAAGCTGTGAAAGAAAAGTGCTCCTTAACTTCTTTTTTTCTGCTGATATTTCAAACCTGAAATCTGAAGCATCCCTGAGCTAAACCAGGTCAAGAAGCTTCATAATACAGACATTTAGGAACTTTTTTATGAAGTTAGATTCTCTGTTGTTATGTCTTGTCTACTATGTTAATGCACTATGCTCCTCTTAATCATGAAACATGACTTTTTGACCCAAAAAACTGCTCTAAGTCTTCTAGGACTGGCAGTTACAGTCTAATGTGGGAAATGCTTTATCACTCTGGCTTGTTAAAATTATGCCAATTTATCTTTGATAAGAGAAACTCTAGCTGCAAAGGTATAACATAACTTTGCTGTAAAAAAATAAAAAATAAAAAACCCCAGAAAACTTTATGAATTCAAACTAAATCATTAGGAATAAGAAGTTTGGATGGATGGATGAATAAAACCTTTTTCACAGTTAGCGAAAATGAGCCCTAATACCCCTGTAATTCCCCTCACACCATGGCTGACCTGACACGGACTCGGTTTTCACCGTTTCTCAAAAGTCCTCCAAAGTTACACCAAAGAAGCACCTCCGCCTAAAAATAGATGTTCAGTTGATTTTATCAAGTAGTCGACAGATTCTGCACCATGTGAGCTTTCGCCTGATGGAACACCACACCATCATGTCATTTTTCTGGACCCTTCAAATTGGAGGAAAAAAAGGCAAGTGTAAGTAAAGTAAGACCAGGCTCAGAAGATAATCGAGATTATTCAGGTCGTAAATTTCTAAACTTACTCTAACCAATCACCAAGAAGAGAGTGGGACTCAATATGTTCAGAATAAATGGGTATTTATAAACTAGTGCTATTACTGTGGGATTTTAAGAAAGGTCAGGTCATTTTGCTACACATACATCCCTAAACTTATCTCTTACACTCCTGATCTCTGAGCATAATAACATACCAAAAAATGTGGGATGAATGCTTTTTAACTTCACTTTTCTTAGAGGGACTGCTGTGCCCCATGAAGCTCTTTCCAAGAGAATGTTCCTAAAAACATCACAGAAAGCTCAAGAAAGCTGTTCTAAAATCTGACATCAATATAATGGGTTTTGTTGGAGGGTAAAAAATATTTATTTTTCCTATGCAGGAATAATAAATATTGATTATCAAATGTAGAATATGTAAGCCTATGTGCTTAAGCACTATCAACTACCACTTCTAATAGTCTAGACTCCTTCCAACACAACAGATTTTTACTTTTTTTTTTTTTAAGTATGAAGTATTTCCGTTGCAAAGGTAAATGACTAAAATGTTCTCTATAGGTCTAATGACAACTATTAGTAATTCCATACTTTTGCCTAATGATTGAAATCAAGCGGCAGATTATGAAATCATTTTGATTTCAACATTAGTATATACTTCATCTACATCCTTTGGGCTAATTGTAGCAACTTTAGTCGTAAAACACACAGCTAACAAACTAAATCAGTATCTGCTCCATGGTCCTGCGAGGGCAATAAAAAAGCAATGCCAGAGCAAAACATCTTTGATATTTCTTTTTTCCTAGAGTCATCAAAAGTCAAGGCCGACAACGATACAATGATTTCCTGCCTGAACTACTGTGAAATCGGCACACA